GATGGTACATTCCACTCCATACCACTTCATTCTGCTGCCTGGTCTCCCAAAGCTCTTCTTTTTACCAGGGCCAGCGGGCAGCCCCTCAGTCCCTTCCTCCACCTCCCAGAAAAGCCCCCAAGAGCCGCACTCCCTTTCACGAGCTGCATGGAGCGTGTGTGCAGCTCTTGGGGGCTTTTCCCCCAAGGAGGGAGAAGGGCAGCCCGTCAGTCACCTCCTGGGGAAAAGCCTGCAAGCGGCGCACACACGCTCCACATGGCTTGTGAAAGGGAGCGCTGAGCAGAGCCAGTATGCATCCCAGGCTCTGCTCAGCGCTCCCTTTAAAAATATTTTTTTCTTGCATTCCCCCTGTAAAAACGAGGTGCGTCTTATGGTCAGGTGCATCTTATGGAGTGAAAAAGACGGTATATCTCGCAAGAGTTCCATGAAATCTCACAAAATCTCGCTGGAAGCTACCACTGTCACAAAACCTCAGCAGCAACAGTCTCAGGCGGGGTACCTGCAGCGGTACCACCCTGTTGTATTCCACCGCCCGAGGCAGCTGCTTCACTCCGCCTCATGAGTGGGCCAGCCCTGCTTTTTGCCCACCCCCAGGAAATGCAGCTGGTGACCCTCCCTGGAACTCTCCTACCTAGTAGCTGGTAGTGTTCTTTTCCTTTCGCAAGCAGTTGGCTGACTGACGCAAGCAGTTTCTTGAGATGGGCAACGTCCTGGCTCATGGCTACGTTGAGGCTTTTATCGGGCCCTGCCTAGAGGGGAAAGGAGGCGAGAGAAAGCAGTTAGCAAAGAGGAGTTGCGGCGGAAGGAACAGCTTGAGAGTGGGCAGGTGGGGAGATTTAACACTGAATTTTAGAGTGCAGGGTAGGCAATCAGCCAGAGGCCGAAGGGGCTTGCCATGCCCAAGGCTGCACCACTCAGACATCTCGAACGAAAGGGTGAAGCCCCTCCTTTGGAACAGAACAAAGAGCAAGGCAGGCTGCTGGTCTCCCTTCTGTTCCCCAAGTGATCCCCAGGACACAGCAGGGCAAGGACGCTCTCAGGTCCACTGCACAAAAAATAAAATGAAAATAAAAAATCCCTCTGCACCAAGAACTAGCACGCCAGGGGAGAAGGATGGGATAAAAACTGCTCTCCCCTGGCGTGCTACTATTCTATGTGCGTGGATTGGATTATTTTTAATGGAGGGTCATTCGCTCCTGTAACCACCACCACCACCCCTGCAATCCGAAGTGGAACAGCCCAGGCGCAGCAAGAAGTAGGCCTTGATGCAGAAGTCCCAGGGTAAAAGGCCCCCAGGGGCCTTCATGTTAGGTTCCGGCTTGGTATAATTTGCAACCGGGAGGGAATAATAATAATAATAATAATAATAATAATAATACCTTTATTGTCATTGCACAACCTGTGTACAATGAAATTAAGAAGAAGAAGAAGAAGAAGAGGAGTTTGGATTTGATATCCGGCCTTTCACTCCCTTTAAGGAGTCTCAAAGCGGCTAACATTCTCCTTCTCCCTTCCTTCCCCACAACAAACACTCTGTGAGGTGAGTGAGGCTAAGAGACTTCAGAGAAGTGTGACTGGCCCAAGGTCACCCAGCAGCTGCAGGTGGAGGAGCAGAGACGTGAACCCGGTTCACCAGATTACGAGTCTACCGCTCTTAACCACTACACCACACCGGCTCCCCCCCCCCACAAACACTCAATCTCTTATCAAACAACACACAACCTCACAAGTCAGTTTCGCTAGGTTATTTTTCGTTCAACAGCCTAACAACCCACGGATAGAAGCTATTTTTTAGCCTGTTGGTACGGCTGATTATACTACTGTATCTCCTGCCCGAGGGTAGAAGATTAAAGAGGTGGTGGCTGGGGTGTGAGTGATCCCTGAGAATTTTTCTCGCTCTCCTAAGGCAACGATCCCTTGCAATGTCATCTAGCGGACTCAAGGGACAGCCCATGATATCATGGGCTGTATTCACTACCCTCTGTTGAGACTTTCTGTCCGTGGCTGTCAGGCAAGAATACCACACTGTGATACAATATGAAAGGACGCTTTCTATTGTGGACCGGTAAAAGGAGTTCATCAGTTGTTGTTTAACATTATTCTTCCGCAAGACCCTGAGGAAATGGATTCTCTGTTGGGCCTTTCTGACCACCTGAGTTACGATGATTTTCCAAGTGAGGTCCTCACTAAGGTAAACTCCCAGGAACTTAAAGGGGGAGACTCTCTCCACACAGCCCCCCCTGATAATATACAACGGGGCAGGTTCCCCTCTCTTCCTCTGGAAGTTCAACACCATCTCCTTTGTCTTACTAACTTTTAGGTGCAAGTTATTCTCTAAGCACCATGTAGATACTTTTCAAACCTCCCCCCTGTACGCTGTTTCATCTCTGCCTGCAATTAGGCCCATTATGGTAGTATCATCAGCAAACTTAATAATTACTGTGGATGGATTAGATGATTTGCAGTCATATGTGTGCAATGAGTACAGGTAGGGGCTTAGCACACATCCCTGTGGGGTGTCAGTGCTAAGCTTCAGGGAAGTAGATATAACAGTCCCAATCCTCACTGTTTGTGTCCGATCCCTCAAAAAGTCTTTAATCCAGCCACAGATGGTAAAAGAAAGGTGCAGATCCGTCAGATTTTTAATAAGAATGTCATTTCTACCTTTGGTTGGAAATGAGTTGGGCCTGCCAATACGCAGCCGCCCTGCCACCTGCTGGTGGGACAGAGCAGCGCTGGGCCTTCGTTCCATTCATCCAGAGTTGCAAACCACACACACACACACAAATATAAGGGGGGTGAGGGAAAACAACAGTGTTGCGTGACATCTTCAGATCTCTAAAAGTGGCCCTCCAACCACCACGGGCCTCAACAGCCTGACACAAACAAACTGGGAGCCGCAGTGGTGCAGTGGTTCAGAGCGGTAGACTCGTAATCTGGTGAACCGGGTTTGCTTCCCTGCTCCTCCACATGCAGCTGCTGGGTGACCTTGGGCTAGTCACACTTCTCTGAAGTCTCTCAGCCCCACTCACTTCACAGAGTGTTTGTTGTGGGGGAGGAAGGAAAAGGAGATTGTTAGCCGCTTTGAGACTCCTTAGGGTAGTGATAAAGCAGGATATCAAATCCAAACTCTTCTACTGTGCTGGGCCACCCAGTTGTAAAAGTGACGCGGAACAGGCTGGGACTAGGATTCCCCGTTAGCAGCCGTTCAAAAGCAGAAAGTAGTCTAGGTCTCGATTGAGGAAAACGTGGGCAATGTCTAGGCAGAGAGGAGTGCGAAGAGGCGATCTGAACCCATGGCTAATTGGCTCTGCCCTTTTGCTTATCTGCTTAATGAATATTACGTCTTCCAGGATCTCTGCAAAAGTGCCGTGCAGGCAGGACTGTGCAGAGCCGGATTAAGCAACAATTCATTCCGGCTGGTAGCCAAATACAGCCATTTGGCCACAAACACATACATAGACACACACACCAGTGAAGCTGCTGCTGAAGGATTCTGGTAATGCCTGCACATCATATGGCTTTTATATGCCCAAGGTAACACTCACCGTCTGTGAGGAGACGTCACTGTTCTCAATCACATTGGTGTCCCCTGCGGCTTTTCCTATTTCCCTTTCTAGAGTAACGAGCGATTCCTGGGCCTTAAGGGAGAAGCAGCAGAGGAAATACTTTGAGTATTATTGTGTGTTTCATTTAGGAATTGCTTCCTGTTGTTAGGCGCCCCAAAGTGATTAACCATATAATGAAAGCATCTAAAAAACAGATACACATATAAAAGCAGGTAAAACAATTGCATGTATAAACACTGTTTGTGTGTGTGTGTGTGTATGTAGACAAGAACAGCACATACATAAAATCAACTCAATTCAACAAGGACACCAACTGCGATAAAGACCTCTGTGTGGAAGGCTTGTTGAAATAGTAAAAGGTAAAGGGACCCCTGACCGTTAGATCCAGTCGTGGACGACTCTGGGGTTGCGGCACTCCTCTCACTTTACTGGCCGAGGGAGCCGGCGTACAGCTTCCGGGTCATGTGGCCAGCATGACTAAGCCGCTTCTGGTGAACCAGAGCAGTGCACGGAAACGCCGTTTACCTTCCCGCCGGAGTGGTACCTATTTATCTACTTGCACTTGACGTGCTTTCGAACTGCTAGGTTGGCAGGAGCAGGGACCGAGCAACAGGCGCTCACCCTGTCGCGGGGATTCGAACTGCTGACCTTCTGATCGGCAAGTCCTAGGCTCTGTGGTTTAGACCACAGCACCACCGGCGTCCCAGTTGAAATAGTAAAACACCAGATATCACTGTGAGCTACTAAGGTTGGGAAACAGAGAATGTCCAGGTCAGGATAAAAAACCCAGAATGCTGAGGACTGTTTTTGTGGGGTGGGGCCTTGTAATACAGTATTTGACAATACGAAGCATGGATGCAACAGATGTGCTTCCAGACACAGGCGTCACGTGGGCTCACTTCAATCAGGAATCCAGGAGTAGCTATGACTCCCTCTTGAGCATCCCTGGGCAAGCACTTTCTGTGAGACACAATCTCACGAGCTGCACGAATACAGGGCGATGCAAGTGTCCATCTGGGCATCTGAAAGTGATGTGCTCTAGGCGATGCTTTCACCCTTCTTCACAAACGCTCTCGAGGCAGCCAAAGAAGTAAGCAAAATGGCATCACAAGCAGCCTAAGATCACAGCAGCCAGATAAACCCATAAATAGCCAGAGATTAAAAAGTCTTTGCCTGGTGCTGGAAAGACAGAGGGGATGGCTCCACAACACAGTCTTACACTCACATCCTGCCTAATTTCTGAAAGGGAGACGCACACCAGATAAGCATTTCAAGACACCATTCTAATGCACAGAAAGTTTGACATGGCAGAAGGGGACAAAACAGGGCTTTAAAAATAAGCACAATGGCTTTTGCTTAGAATGGAATGGAATCATAAAGGGACCCCGAGGATCATCTAGTCCAACCCCCTGAAATGCAGGAATGTGCAGCTGTCCATACGAGGATCGAACCTGCAACCTTGGCATTATCAGCACCATGCTCTAACCAACTGAGAAACAGACCTGGGACTAGGGAAGCTGTTGGAGAACAGGTGAGCTGTGTTCCCAACAGCCTGTCCCTTGTTCACAACCTCGAAGCAGCATTTTGGAAAGGCTTTTCTGAATAGCCTTAAAAAGGAAGCCCCACAGGAAACACACGGCAACAGCGCAGCCTAGAGGTTGGCAAAGGATAGATAACTGTGACCGGGACTTCTCTGTCAGCGAGGGAGCCATAACTGGCACAGTAACTTAAGCTAGAGGAAAACACTGTGTGACACAGGCTGCAGTTGGGCCTCAAGCTACAAAGCACTGTATCTTTGATTCCCCCTAGACCACTTAGACCCATTCCTTACCTTAGGCAAGTCGACTGCTAGTTTCTGCCTCTCGCTCTGATCAATTTTGAGTTTGGATAAAGTCTCGTTCAACTGGGTTTTCAGCTGCAACAGATAAGACAAAGCCAGTTGAGCACATCCCTCTTGGGTGAGAGCAAGGGAATAAGAGGTGGCTACAAGTATAAACACACACACGCATGAGAAGGAAGAGTGAAGATTAGTCATCAAACATGTACTACAAGGAGAGTTGGGCAGCAAAGTGAGTCCATCTGCAAGACAGATGAAAAAGAACAACTACAGAAAGCTACAGGTAGCTATAGAGGTTAGAATCAGTGAGAAAATTCTAAATGGATGTTATCCAAGCCTCCCCAGCCTTATCAGGGCATTTGCACGAAGCTTTTCACAAGTGAGTATCTGCTCCACAGATCAGTTCCAATCATCATCAGTGTTTTGTTTAAGGAAGCCTTAAACCAAAACATCTGGAAGCCACCAGTTGGGAGCAGTTAAAAGAACTGAGGAACAGCAAGTCGATTAAAGCCATTGACACACAGCCTCTCACCCATTTTCTTCCAGGGAACTCACAGGCTACCCCTCTGAGCTAGCCAAAACATCTGATATCTTCATAATTTTACTCACAAGCATCCAAAATACAGTGGTACCTTGGGATGCGAACGGGATCCGTTCCGGAGCCCCGTTCGCATCCTGAATGGAATGTAAGACGCGACGGCGCATCTGTGTGTTGCGTTTTGCCGCTTCCGCGCATGCGTGTGACGTCACTTTGAACATCTGCGCATGCGGCGAAACCCGTAAGTAATGCGCTCCGTTACTTACGGGTTGCTGCGGAGCGCAACCCGAAAGCGCTCAACCTGAAGCACATTCAACTCAAGGTATGACTGTAGCTTGTTCTCGCCAAAAAAGCAGTACCCCAAAAATTGTAATAATTAAGTACCTGGTAATTTTCAGTGTTTTTCAAATATGAGACCTAATACAGGTTTTTGCATGTGGAGAGACACCTTCACCCAAGAAGGACAGGATGGGGGGAAGTCACTGTCTGTAATGACATTTTCCTATTCAACGTGACCCTCGGTGATGCTCAAACTTTCGTTCTGGGTTCTGGAAAACTCACAGCGGCCCAGCTGGAGGCAGTTCAGCTTGAGAGTTAGTTATATGAATCAATTCCATAATGGCAGAAGCTCCAGCAAAGCAAGGCTGGTCTGGTTTCTTTTCTATGCCCAACAGGCAGTGGCTCATACGACCAGTATGGGACTGACCACTCTCTGTCTGGGGCACCTAGTGCTTCCCTCTTCTGCCTTTAAGAACATACATTGCACTCGAAGGGCAGAAAGACTACGCCTTCCTTAAGTCAGCAGGCTGCATTATGCCACATTCTGTGCCCCTTGCCTGCTTTAATCTCTTTGTATGCAAATACAAAAACTGTCCAGTTTCGCCTTCCAGAAACTGGGACTTCCCTCAATGGAAAAGGTGCAGCCTAAAAGCAGACACTCCCGTTCTGGTCTCACAACTCCACCTAGCACCGAATTGAGGCAAAGCAGCACTTTCCACACCTGTAGCCAAGACCCCCTGCCTTCCGAGAAAGCAGGCTTCTGAATTCACAAACCACCCCAAACGTTAAGGCTTTAAGTGAAAAGGGCCAGAGGGAGCAGCAAACACACTTAATGTTGTTATTAAGAGGCAGGGAAAGGGCTGTAAAAGTGGTTGAAGCAGACAAAGTCTGAGCTGGAGGGGTTAGCAGACAAGACAGGATTCAGAAAGGTTCCCTCCGCTTTGGAGTAAGTTGTATTCAGCGGAGGGAGGAGGACAGGCCTCTTACCAAATTTAACTCTTCATTCTGCCTTACTGCTTCAGAATATGAGTCATCAAGTTTTTTCTGCAATTCAGTCAACAGATCTTTGAGCTGAAATGAAGTTTTCAGAGGCTTTAAGACGCATCTCCTTCAGCCACCCCCTTCCCCCCTGTTCTGGCTCCGTGGTTAGAAGTCACAAACAGCAAACGCCCCTGAGGGGAGCAAGCATTTCGTCTTTGGGCCAACCAGAGCCATGCGCTGAGTGCAACAGAGAGCAAAAATAACTGCTGCATTTGGACAGGCAGCTTACCTCCCGGACTTCTGAAACATACGTTGATCGCTCTATTTCTGCCTTCTCCAGTTCATGTTCCAGATGTTCTCGTTCCTTTTTAAGCTGCAAAAAAAGGGGCAAAGAAGTCATGAAGTTACTAAGGTGTCTGCTCTGCTTCCAGACGTTTTCATCCGTTACCACCAAGCTGAAAGTCATTCTTTCAGCGCTAACCATAAACTGCATTAATCACCAGCTTCACCAATTCCTGAAATGCTAGTCAGATTTCATACCCTGATCTGACCTATCTTTCAGTAATGTCCTTGGTGGTTCAGTGGGCATGAATTGAAAAACCCAGCCACGGCAACTTAAAACTAGGTGTTTAGCAACTAGCGTTTAAATCATAATGGCTACATTTAAAAGTTCTAGACAAAATGGCTGCAATTTAATCTGCGGCTGGGGGTGACTAACCCATGGCCAGTATGGAAAGATTTGGCTTCCTGCCCCCAAAATTTGTCATTTTAAAAATTAGCTTTTAAATAAAAATACGTTGACCACTCCTATGGGTCCCCTTTTGTGACAGCACCCCTGCCCCAAGTCCAGATGCCCAAGACAGGTGCATGAGGTGAGGGAGGGGTCAGGGCAAGGAGCGCCATGTGGGCACACTGCTCATTCCAAGTCCAGTTTCTCAAACTTGGGATCATTATGTCTGAACTGGGCCAGTTTTACACAAACACCCCAAGAAGGTTTGGGATGAAGTAACCCTTCATGTACAGATTAAACGAAACATACAGAATCAACTTCTTTGACTTCTTCCTTTAATCTTTCTACCGCCTGCTCCAAAGGAGCGACCGATGAGCGCATCTGCAATCAGACAAAATATACACTATTATTATTATTATTATTATTTAAATGACAAACATCTTACTCTTCAAGACTGTGAAATGGATGATCAGGGGCTGCTGATTTCGCAAGACTCCAACTGGCTTCAGCTTGCTGTGGCTGTTCACAATTACTGTTATGAGAAAAGCTTCCTTTTGCCTGTTCTGAATCTCCTTTCAATCAATTCTGCCAAGCGACACAGAGTTCCTACGCTACAGGAGAGGAAGACGTTTCTCCCATCTACACTCTACAAATTGCGAATAATTAGATGGCCTCCCAATCTTTTGTTGAAAGATTTGTTGCAAAGATTTGTCCGTGCAGAGATTTTCACTTGTGCAGTAGCACTCTCCTTGCTTTCCTAAATAGGTTCCAGGGACTCCCCCAACCCTTTGCAGCATACGGGGGAAGGAGGAGGAGGGACGCCCCAAGTGGAAATCCTTGCACTGACGGGAAGCGTCCATTGGCTACTACCCGTTGTTTTTCATTTCTTTGGCCTTTGTGACCCACAAAGGTCGCTACCAATGTTATGCGTAGCACTCTGAACACCAGAGAGGGCTAACAAACCTCCTTCATCTAGGTGGCAAAGACAGCTCCCATCCGTGAACCAGAGATTACTAAACCCAGATCATTTAACTCCGCGGAAGGCAGTGGCAGATGGTCTTTCCCAGTTAACAATGAAATACTGCTGGTCTCCTGCTGCCAGCGGGTGGGGCTGCGCAGACATTCTCCCCATTTGCATCAAGTCTGCTTCAGTAAGCACTTGCTGGATGCATAATCCGAATCATCTTAGAGAGATTAATTTATTTTGATGAAAGCAAAGGAAAGCCACAGAAGTACAACACTGGTGGTGCGTTTTCCCTTTTTGCTTTTCAAAAACAGGATTAAGCCCCCTGATATTACTTCGAGAATGTGCTGCTATTTTTATACACGATTGCAGCTAATGTACAAGAGGCTGATTACTTTAGTATGCTGTTTTCAGGAGACATGACTGACCCTTGCTTGCAACTAACTAACTCGGGCCATAGACTAAATATATGAGGCTCCTCAAATCAGAACATTCAGCCCCTCCAGCCTGGAACTGTCTCCTCTAGCTGGGAACAGAAGCCCCACCACACAGTCCTGATAGACATGGGCTCTAGCATAGGACCCCTGACCATTAGGTCCAGTCGTGACTAACTCTGGGGTTGTGGCGCTCATCTCGCTTTAGTGGCCGAGGGAGCCGGCGTACAGCTTCCGGGTCATGTGGCCAGCATGACTAAGCCGCTTCTGGCGAACCAGAGCAGAGCACGGAAACGCCGTTTACCTTCCCATCAGAGTGGTACCTATTTATCTACTTGCACTTTGACGTGCTTTTGAACTGCTTGGTAGGCAGGAGCAGGGACCGAGCAATGGGAGCTCACCCCATCGCGGGGATTTGAACTACCGACCTTCTGATCAGCAAGTCCTAGGCTCTGTGGTTTAACCCACAGCGCCACCCGCGTCCCCGGGCTCTAGCATAGGATCTTTGAAACTGAGATGACAGAGACTAAACCTTGAACTGTTCACATCCAAAGCATGTTCTCTGCATCTAAGGCAGCCGTGGGGAACCTTTGGGCTGCCAGATGTTGCTGAACTTCAATTCCCTCACCCCTGGCAAGCCTGGCCCATGGCCAGGGAAAATGGGAGTTGCAGTTCAGCAACATCTGGAGGGCCAAAGTTTCCCCACACCTGATCTAAGGAACGCCTTCCCTGCCTCCAC